ATTTAAGTGTACGATCTGGAGTCATGTTGCAATATAGCCCAGTCTCGTCACCATTGAAAATATCCTCAGAGCTGCAATTTTGTGCAATACTAGGCCACTTATCCTCGAACCAGTTCAACACAGCATGTTTGTTAACATCTCCTGCTTCACCAGAAATTTTTCCGACGTTCATGTTGTGCCGAACTTTGTAGTCCCCTGACTAATTCTTCGCCTTTCGATTTCAGAAGTGGACCAGTTATTACAATATTTTTGGAACTTCGAACTTGAAACCGTCGTAAAAGAGCTTTATCTACATCTGAATGTACATGATTTCTAATTTTTTTAGTCCTGTGCGATTTACAGTCACAACCTCGCAAATGATTACTGATAAATACCCTATTTTTCCGGGGAACCACCTCCGGATATCCGGTTTTAGCGTATACTCCTACTTTATAACCAGAACAATAGTGAAAATATTGTACTTTATAACCGTATTTTGGCCGGACCAGTAAAATATGCGCGTAATACGTAATACGTAGTACGTTACATCCCATGTACGTTATAAACGGAGTTTACTGTATAAGTCCAAATTTAAACACTAGGGCACACATGTCAGTCTACCTACCACTCTCGGGCCATTTGATAATTCTCAAAGGAATGGAATACGGTCAAGTTTTACACTTCAATAACGATTTAACATATATTTAAACATATTAAATTTTCCAAAGACACGAGGTAAGTTGAAGTCTAAATAGTAAACTTTGTAGAGGAAATTTTACCTGTGCTAATGTTGTTGCTATATATTTATGGGACTATAGGCATTTTCTTTAAAAAAAAAAAACTAAATAATTTTGAATCCGATATTAACACAATGACGATTGCACCGTCGAAATACAGAAGGACAAGCAACGATTTTTTTTGCATTGGAAATGTGATACAAAAGGGACACATTTATTATAAATCGTAATATTACCCTCGGGCCTTAACATCTACAAAAAAGCGGGTGACGCGATGGGGGTGTAGATTCCAGTTGTTAACTCACCGCATGTTAACACCGCCTAACCGGAAGTCGAATGAAGGGAGGGATTATTTTACCATAATTATGCAGATCGGGTGGCCATCCTCGGAGTAGATTCACGTAGTTTGCGTAACTTTCTTAAAAAAACTGTGCAGATGTCAAAAATATAAAATCTCTTTTGTCATCTGTATAAAATACTAATAAAACCGTTTGAAAATAACGCCCGTACGTCTGTTTATTAGAAAATGATAACGCCATAAGGGGCTTGGAAAAGTCGACGAAAACTATCTCAACGTTCTCGACCAAGCTACACTGTTGCTATAGAAACGACACGTGTTGAGCATAGTATTATTTTGTAAATCTTATCACGTTGTAAGATGAAAAAGGACCGCCGGGAAGCGCAAAACGAGACAAGTTGAAGGCACTAAGGTGGCTTTATATATTTTGGTTTCTGGTTTAACGTTAAGGAACGCTTAAAGGGCATTACGTATATATATATACATATATATATATATATATATATATATATATATATATATATATATATATATATATATATATATATATATATATATATATATATATATATATATATATATATATATATATATATATATATATATATATTACCTCGAATATGTGTCGTCATCAAAAATTCACACACGATCATCGATTAAACTTGTGAAAGTAAGTAAGTTGAGACAATGATTATTGATTTCTCGTTAAAATTCAAGCATTTTTATTTGTCATATCAAAAAGAAATATCACAGGGCAATACTGAGATCATAATAAGAATTGCGCCGTGATTATAGCACAACCTGTAGCAGAAGCTTTTATGTTTGGCCCAGCACTACTAGAGAATAATAAAAACAATGAAAACAGGGTAAGAAATACCAATGTAAATAGAGATGGGCGTAATAATGACCATAAGCAGCTAGCAGTTACTGGTGCTATAAGGACGCAGAAAGACAGCATTTCATATGAAAAACGCATACCAGAGTTTTCAACTTTCCGAATACTGGTGACATGGTGAGCATAAACTATATCTCGGGAATCCGGGGTAAACGAGGCTAGTGCACAAACAGTATTTAGCATTAGCAGACAGAAATTGTTTCAAATTGTACCGTTTTTTAAGCTCATATAAGAACTTATTTACTATTTATGGAAGGCTGAAATGTTTCATGGGTTTTAATTTCTACGTGTTTATTATTATTAAATATAAGAACACAAAACTTGGGAGAGTTAAGCATGAAGTGATCTTTAGAAAAGGCGAATAAACTGTCCAAGTTTAAATTACAATTTAACAGAGATTCCATTGAAAGAAAACGTATATATTTGAGCATCATCAGTATATTGATTCGATATCCCAAAGCAGCTCGAACTATTAAAAAATAACAATTTTGAGAACTAAACTTTTAAACTCTATCTCACTATCATTTATTGGTTTATAAATTAATTTCGAGAAACTCGTCAATACATTTTAGATATTCCTGATTTAAACTAAGCTATGGATTTAGCTGCTCCACAGATTCGCATTTTATGAAAAACTGGCCCGCATAATTCAAAAAATACTGATGCGTCGATTATGTGCTAAATCAAATACAAAATATTTTGGATTTTTAAATATTCTAGTGAAATAATATAAAAATAATTACACAGAGTGTCCAAAATATATCAAACTAAAAGCTTTACCAAATATAAATAATTTCAAGTTTTTGAACTATCCTTGTCAGGTTAAATGAAATTATATTTTTAGATGTTTAAAAACAATTTGCATTTAGCATTTTCTCGACAGCCCGCAGGCTTTTGCAAATGATCTACAGTTTCCATATACAAAACAGCCGCTCTGTATATTATACAGGGTGATTAATTAATAATTGTGAATATATAAAATAACCTCAAATAGCTTAAATAAAGATGTAACTGCGTACTTATTTACAGGGTGTTTTATTTAATTTTGCACACGTTTGTAGGTACTACCAGACACACATGACTGATCCTCCCCAAATTCTACTCCATCTGCGTAATTTCAATTTATGTACAATGTCTTAATTCTCCAATAATAGGCATTTATCTATCTATTCATCTATTCACTCGTCTAAATAGGAGAGCAACTTTAATGGGGAACTTGGGAGTATTTGAGCTAAAATATGTCCAGTTATTCACGAATCACCCTATATAACGTCAGTGGTTTGAACGTGTCATTATCATAGAATTTAGTTGATTAATCGAATTCTACGTGACACCCAGCCCAGCATCGCGGTCGTTGGTAAAACCAGATATTCGGCAACGTCGTGTTTATATCAAGCACGTACGTTGGGCGTTAAAAGAAGAATAAGCCGGCATATTTCAAAGCACGTCTTCCAGTTTCTCAGCAACAGTAACGTCGATCAGACGGCATTCCTCCTGCGCTGCCGATATAAAGGATCGTCGACAAATTTGCCGCCGCTCAACTCACTCGTTCAACACCGTATCTAATCGAGTTCTACCATTCAATCAGTGTCACTGTTCAAATCCAGCAATTCATCAACGATAAAATGAAAATGAATATGTCGCCCGTGCGACGCCAAATTGTCACATCGCGGTTGCTCTGAGGTCGACGCGTAGCCGTCGTGATTACTATACTTAAACGATCCAGGGGCGTACTTTTGACATAAGACAACGAGCACGTATGAAAATGCATGAAATATATTATATAAGGTCGTCGAAGTTTTCGTTATAGTTACCACGAATGTAGGGGCTGATGTATTTTGAGTTTCTTGCACACCGCCCAGCAAATTTTTGCACCGAATCTTACGCCACTGTTTTATTTTTTTAAATATGCGCTTTGAAAATGTCGAAAGTTCACGTAGCTTTATCTGAAACATCAAACACCGTAATGACTGGCAGTGTATCCGAGCTTTGTTGTCCCTCAATTAGAAGATAGAGATTTCTGAGTTCGCCATCCGGATAGTAGGTATATTTTTGAGAACGATTTTATGAATTTTTGTGCTAGCGATAGTCTCCGACGCGCAAAAACTAACTTTAAGTTAATAGGATTTAAAGTTGGGTCGACTTTCCTCAAAACTTAAACGAGAGGCTGTAGAGTTTACCCCAACTGTTGCCAAAACATCGATTTCGCTGGGTTTCCGCTATGGTGCATGTAGCACAAGAAACGCAAACCGACATTACAGTTTCCTTTTATAGCTAAACGAACTACATCGCTGCAGTCTGCAAAAGTAATATTTACTTCTTAACCTGAAGACTGGAAGTCTCTATCTTAGGGCATAGCATAGCTTCTTTGTTAATATAATATTACCTCTACAACGGGACGATGACAACGAGTGGGAGTATTTTATTAGATTTTGAATTGCGTGGCTTTGGCGGTTAACTAGTGTTGGACGGTCCAGGTATATAAGCTTTTTTTACCGAATACAAAACACTGGCTAGTTTTCAACAGAGCTCGTTAAAAATTGCTTACCATTCGTCCAAATTCGTTTGTCTTCGAAGTCAATGATATTTACACAAAAATTACAGTGGATAGAATAAATATATTAATCTACAGAAAAGAAAACTACGAAAGAATATTTGCCAAAAATGGAAATGCAAATGTATGTAGAAGGTTCCGAAACTACCAAAAATAAATTTAAGTAAAATACAATATGATTAGATTTATTTTATATAAACTTTTCTAAAAACAAAAAATTGTGGTGGGGCAATTTAACATTTGGCGTTTTTTGCCACTAGTTGTAAGTTATAAAATAACGCCGTATTGTAAGTGTATTGGAAGTTCGATCTATAATTTCAATGTATCTTTATTTAAAGTAAATCTGACCACTAAAACAGGTCTCTAGGAATGCTTCTTCGTATCCAATTTTTTAATATTTGAAGACGTATTCCTTTGGTGTTGTACTTCCAGTCCGTTGTCGACATCATGTAAGATTTTTTTTAAAACGTGGGTGTGTTGGTCAGCTCTGGTTTATAGTAATAGGCATGGCTGATTGATTGCATGTTTTTGTCGCAGTTTCGTCACCACCAACCACCTCACCTAGACCGACTACCACCGAAACACCCAGTAGAATTAGGGATTGGCCCGGACTCAACGACTTAAACAATTCGGTTTATGGCAACCCTTCTTCTTTGACTATTCACCTAGCCGATAAAGGTATTCATACATTAATTTTATTATATGTATGTAAATATAGTTCAGATCAGAAGCGGGATCAAATAATGAGTTAAAGAAACTCGCTGATTTTATTCGGAAACCAACATCGTCGTCTTGTCCATATACAGTTAATGTGTAAAGGGCACACGACATTACTCGTATACTAAAAAATATATAGATATATAGATATTATTGCTCACATTGCGGGTGCTTTTTTGGCTTTTGCGGGAAACACGATTCGGGAGGACGTAAAAATTAAAGGAACAAACAGCCCGAAAATAAAAACAAATCGATAAAGGTAACAGTCAGACATATTTAACTAACTTTAATCGCCGGTTTTTCTCAAAAGGTGTCTGGTAGATAAAAAGACGAGGCGAATGTTGCCGCAAAGGACTGTTTCATCTTCGCCCTGGATGTTATCTAATTTACAGTCAGTCAGTCATCTTATCTCTCGTACGAGGATCTAATTCAATAAGTTGATTCGCAAAACTTTTTTCGGAATCATTCGGAACCAGACGAACGTAATTCAAATGTAAACTTCGAATCTTCCAAATAAAGTTAAGGACCGGTTTGCAAATACAACCTGTCAGAAGGCATTTGCTATTGGTATTTGATTCGATATATTCCCGAAATGATTATTTTATTATATTTTAATTTGCTTATCGAAAAATGTGTTCGTTTTGACGAATAAATCCGAACAAATGGCGACAAACATCTGCAGGCCTTTTAATTAGCGACTCAGTAATCAGAATAATTAATAAGACGAATTAAATTTCGCCTGCAACCGACTTTTTAATATAAAAATTTATTAACGCCTCGATCAGTGCGATAAGAAAACATCTCAAAATGGCCCGACATTCCCGGAATACCGTAAAATTAATAATATTTATTATTTCTTATTTAATGCTATTAATTTTGAGATTAACTTTGGAAAAAAATGTTTAGAAACCGGTCCAATATCTTCGGATTTTTCAAAACGTTGGTTTGTGGTCAAAAACTTATGACTAAAGCGGCCATGAGAAAATGGTGGGAATTATTTTAAAAACGGCTTAGGCCGTAAACTCTGTCCTGGGCAGATTGATTTCAATTTCCAATGTATCGCCGCTAGAGGGGGTTTTGGCCCAAGTAAAATTTATTTTATGAAAACAACGATATTACTTTTATTGCAAGAAAGGATGACCAAAGAAGGGTCTAACACGCTGGTGAAAACCGCATTTCGATATGTCTTTTCTAACCTACAAAAAAAAACAAAATAATATCGCCATCTTAGAGACCATTGTTGGGATACCTACTAATAAACACCAATATTCATTCTTTTCACCAAATATATATAAATGTACTGTTAAAATTCCAATAAAAATTAATACTCATTCCCATTTTTATGACTGAATACGATACAGGGTTAGTAAAAACGACAGTAACGCTTAAATATCTCAAAAACTGCCAAAGCGGGAACGATATAATTCAATACCTGAGGGTTTTAAAATTTTTTCAAAAATGCTAACAGCAATGTTTTTAGATTTACCAGTTTTACGTCACGATTTTGTTATTTTGAATGAAACACCCTATTTATTTTTGTCGCATGTCGAATTTAGCAAGGTCTCGAAATTTCAAAATGTTATGTCTATTAATAACTGGAACTATAAAATTCAATACCTGGGGATTTTTGAACATGCAGAATTAAAAAATTCTAACGTTATCGGATTTACCACGTCATAATTTTGTTATCCTAAATGCCCTAATTATAGGAAACTTTAGAAGTTTATCAATAAAATTTATCAGAATTGTAAACGTCATCGCGAAATCTCCTGCAATTCTGCAAAAATCCGTTTTGGAGATATTTAAGCGTTACGGTACTTTTTATGAACCTGGTATATTAAAATAATATTAACACGGATTACATTAAGATCTATTTTGAAAATAAAAACAAAACATACCAAGCAATTCTACATTAAAAAAAAGTTTCTTTTTGTCAATAAGGCCACCAAAGTAGACTATAAATAGCTGAAACCATTATAATTTTTGCTATTTTGTTTTCCAAGGCACACTTAAAAATTTCGAATTTCTCAGGAACGCATTGCCAATATTCAATCATAATGAATGAGTATTAATTGTTATTGATATTTTGCATATAACTAAAGAACGAAAATTAGCATTAATTAGCAGGTATACTTAAAATATTATTATTGTTATTAATATTACAGGTTAGGAAACATTTATCGAAATATGGTTTTCACTAGCACGTTAGATTCTTATTTGGCTATCTTTTGTGAAATTAAAGTTATATCATTGCATTTATTTTTTTTAGGAAATGACTGTTATTTATGGTGATGTCGCACCCTCTCTAGCAATTTAAAATCAATCGGCTCAGTGCTACATTGATAGCCTAAAACAACTCTAAGTTTGGCAAAGTGCGTTCCACTATTTTGAAGTTATTAACATCTATTTCCGAAAATGATCGAACACCCTCCCCCACACAACGAAAGAGAGTGGACTGTATCCCAGTCTTACAACGGTGTTCATTGTAGCTATCTAGCGGCCATACTAGAAACTTAAAAATAATTTCTAATATTTTCTCTTGGCAGCTTTTCACCCCAAGAAAGAGTCGAGTGTTCTTCTTAATTGGCCTACCATTCTGTATTGTGCGACAATTTGGTCACATTTTTGACGATCTTCTCATCATCAGAAAATATCTGTGGCGGCAAATTTTCGCACCTAGATCCGGTGTGAAAACTGGTTTTGAAATTTCAATTTTCCCTTAAATCGTTTTGGCAGCAACACTTGAACGTGACGAAAGACTAATACGGGTGGAAATAAAATTTAAAAATAGTTTTACACGCGTTTAACGGGACAAATACTCAACATGTCAATGTTCAAAGGCAAATACTAGTTTTCGAAGTATATTTTGTCGATCCCAATTATTTATATTTCGAATGATCGATCGACGCGCAAAAAAAAAGTTAATTTAAATAAAATAGAAGGGCTTTTCAACGGCAACGCGCCCGACGGGAGTTTTTGGAGGGTCGCGCTCGCTTCGGTCGATGAAAAAAAAAATGTAAACCGTAATTACACTTTTCATGAAAATTTGTCTTTATACGCCGCGGAGTCGGATTTTAAAAAAATCGAGCGGAAGTGGAGCCATAAAAAAATCGCATCATCGTGCAATTAATGTTAAGTGGCATTCAAAGAAGTTCTCATTAATAAAATTCCGAAAAAAAAAACACAGTGTGGGGGAAGGGGGCGTTCGGACCGTTTTTTTTTTAACGGAAACTTTGGTTCAACGGTCAAGTCTTTCTCTTGCTTATAATGAAGAATATTTTAATGCAGCGCCATTTGAATACAACGCAGAGGCACGCGGTAGACGCGTTCTTAACTTTTAGCAGCAATTAAATAGGAAATGAAAATTCTTTTAAGAAATGGGAACTTTTTTTTCCGGCTCCGCTGTTTTTAGACGTCAAATATTTCCCTTTGATTCTTCACCTTTGAGACTCTGCAAGCGTTCCCCCCTTTCGAGCAAATTATTGAATACATTCTTCCGCTTTTGTTTAGATTACTACTAATTTTGTTGTTGCTTCTTTTTTCGTATTTGTTTAGATTCACGTTACCAATCAAATTTAAACGAAATCGACAAGTCCGAGCAGAAATCGGAGTCCGAGAACGACGTGAAAGGTGGCATGTTTCGACCCAACCGCGGCGACACACTCAGCCGACGTAAGTACACAACACTATTTTCCATTTTAATTTGAAGCAGCGAGTGATGGACATTTCATTTCTGGCAGTTGACATTAAAAATTGTCGAAGTTAACCTCCGTATACATTTATAAACCATCGAATCGTCAGAGATATAATAGAGTCATGAACATCAGTTCAGCGTGTAAAGGTCGAAGGAAATAGAATTTTCTCAATTTCCCCCCGTTTCATGTTGACCTGCGGTCCTTTGACATCTGTGCCGATGTCCGCCTTCTAAACACAGCACTATATTTGAAGAGTAAATAAATGCTCAAAAAATAATAGGTTTTTCGTTTCGGAAAATCGACAGGTCGGGTAATTACCTTTTCAACGTTTTGACGTTAGATAAAAATGTTATTACCCAAACCGTTCCTTCAAAATTATTTCCCATAGGATACGATATTTAATTACATTAAATCGTTTATTTTTATTTTTTGTCAAAATTTTTGTATTTTGGAACACAGTTATGGTAAGCAGTGAATATGTTAGGAGAAATAAGTGGTAATTAGTGATATAACGGCAATTAAGAATTTTTTGCTGTAATTACGGGAAATTTCCTGATTAATAAATCGTTCAAAACATGGCTGATTGAAGGCAACGCACCATAACGTGAATATGTTCCAGAATACGAGCCCTAACAACTAATTGTTCGGACGATGTACGAAATAATAAGAAAACATATTTATACTTATTTTAAATTGATTTCTTTTTGCCTTTTCGATTGAAAAATGAAATCACGCACTTATTTTTATGACAAAAAGTGCTATCATAATGAATTATATCAAATATACCGAATTTGCTGACAAATAAATATTCGGACGCATTTAAATCTTTTACTTTAAATCGAACATTAATAAGAAGTAACATCACCTTTCGCGGCAATAACAGCTTTTATGCGTTTTGGCATGGAATCTACCAGTCTTGCAATATTCGGCGGTGAAAGTGTTCCGAATTTCGGTGATTTTTGCCTTTAATGCTGGAACTGTACGCTGAGGATTGTTACGCAAGGTCTTTTTCATCCGACGCCGGGGCTACTTGATAGCCACGATAAAACTTTCACATTATGGTCCCCAAACCACTTTTTTGTTGTTTTCGCAGTATGGCATTAGGACCATCTTGTTGAAATATAAAATTTTCATTTAAAATAGTTCGTTCTATCGATGGAATCAAACTTCTTGATAAAATTTGTTGGTATTTTTCTGCATTTACAGTACCATCAATGAACTCGTAGTTGCCAACCCCTTTACCACTCATACACCCTCATATCATAACCCCCTGGGAAAATTTTACCGTGCGCTTTAGACACACATCAAATTTTGATTCTTCGCTGAAGATAACGTTACTCCACGTTTCCGATGTCCAGGATATTTTAGATTTTGCCCAATCCCAACGTTTTTTCTTCTAAATAGACGTTAATAATGGTTTTTCCTTTGCCTTTGACAAAAGTAGATCATAGAATATTAATAATTTTTATATTGAAACAGGAAAAATTGTAAACTTACCTTATAAAAACTCAAACCAGACTTATGCATCCACTGTCTACAACATTCCGTAGAGACATTTAAGTTTGCCTCGTGATTCCATTGGGCTTGAATTTGTCGTAAGACGCTTCGTCTGCTAGTTATACAAGTCTTGACCAGAATACGACGATCTCTTTCAGTGATTTTACTGGGTCGGCCTGAACTTTTACCACGAACTCTAACACTAGCTGTCTCTCCATACTTTTTTATAGTACCCCCGACTGTTGATTTTGCAATACTCAAGTCATTTGAAATTTTTTGCATTGATTTACCTCTGCAGTACTGAGATATGATAATTTCTCGCACTTTTTTGTTTGTTGCAACACCAACTATTATACATCAACTATTATACAAATTTGAAAGATACAACACGAACTGGCATCTCATTTATCTAAGCACACTACATTTTGCCATCGATGCATGGGTAGCATTGATTTCTTGGCCAATAAACATTCGCGTCCGAATATTTATTTGTCAGCAAATTTAGTTGTTAGGGCTCGTATATAAAAGAAATTATTGCGGTATTGCAAAAAAGGAATGTGAGTTTCCTCTTAATTATAATTATTTTTATTGTCTAACAGATTATCATTCATTGAACTATATTCATTTATATTTAATTAAGGTGGTATACTGATATGATTAAATAATTTTATCAACTAAAAAAGAGGACCTTTGCTCAAAAAATCGTTTTTTGAGGGTATTAGATAAAACACAGGTTATGGTCTGAAGTCACTGGAGGGTTGAAGTTAATTCAGCAGTTCAGAGCAGTCCACTAATGAGCAACATAGTTCATGTAAAATGTACCTCCTACGATTTAAGAGTGATTTCTAATGGATCACTCTGTGGCAGCGAAATAATTGTAGAAATATAAATATTGGTTGCCGTATTGTTGAACCATCCTCTATTTTCAAACGTACATAACTTGAGTATAACAATTTTAAAGCATGGTCGCTTGTAAAGTCTGCAGAATGAAACCCAGCATTTTAAGTACATCTCTACAGACTTGATCGATGTATCAAACATTACACCAACATTTATCTGTAGTTGAATTCGATTAATTTAAAAGATTTTTTAAGAAATGGGTCCTTAATTTTGTGTAAATAAGAAAAATACTTTGGGTTTAGATTTGCGCTAGAAAAACCGTGCGGGAACAAATCGATGTTAAAAGCAAAAGCAAAATCGTAGACTACACCCTTCGAGTGTTAGTCAACACATATTGTCTTTGATGTCTTCTCCCTGAACGCATATAGTATTCTGTTTGGCAATTCCCGGCAAAGTAGGTCCACTTTGCATTTTAACTTCTCAACCACTAAATAAACTATTATGATTTCAAAAGGTTGCTTTGGCTATAGTAAACGAAACCAATTTTCTTTTACAGGTTTCGGCGGTATCAAAATGGTTTTGTTGGTGACGATGTTCACGTTATTGCGGTGAATGTACAGGGTAAGATTAAACCGCGGCGGTTAGATTAGAAAATTTTAACGGTAAGTCGAGAAAGAGCGCTTAATAAGTGTAAAATTGTTTATATGTATAATCTATTTTAAATATAAAGACTGAGATTGATTAGATGAAATTTACTATATGGATAGCGTACTATTGGGTTGTTCGGAAAGTCATTTCGTTTTTTTTGGGGAACATGAAAGACAGTTTTCGTATAATGAATAAATATTTTATTAAATTATATATTGGCCATTCTGGTCCAACACCTTTTGCCATCTTTCTGGCAGTAACATAATTCCCCTCTCATAAAAGTTTTGGTCCTTGCTGACAAAAAACTGGTTCAGGTGGTTTTTGACATCTTCATTTGAGGTAAAGGTTTTGCCATCTAAAAAATTTTGCAGGGACCGGAACAAATAGTAGTCGGAAGGCGCCAGATCTGGAGAATATGGTGCATGTTGCAGTACGTCCCATTCAAGCTGTAAAAGTTTTTGGCGAGTGACCAAACTTGTGTGAGGTCTCGCATTATCCTGGTGGAACACTACACCCTTCCTGTTGATTAATTCGGGCCTCTTCTCTTTAAGTGAATCATTCAATTTGTCCAGTTGATGACAATAAACTTCTGAATTAATCGTTGTATTGTCCGGCAAAAGCTCAAAAAAAAAACGATTCCTTTGACATCCCACCAAACGGAGAGCATCACCTTTTTTTGGTGAATGTTGGCTTTTGACACGCTTTGAGCCGGTTCATCTTTTCTGCTCCATGACCTCTTGCGTTTAACATTGTTGTATACAACCCATTTTTCGTCCCCAGTAATAATCCGCTTCAAAAATGGATCATTTTCTTGACGTCCGAGGAGCGAATCACACAGGTCAACGCGACGACACAAATTTCGCTCCGTAAGGACATGGGGCACCCACACATCGAGCTTCGAGGTTAAGCCCATGCCTTTCAAATGGCCATAAACAGTCGAATTCGACAAATTTAATCTCTCACCGATCTCTCGTGTGGTTATTCGCCGATTTGCATCAACTAATGCCTTTATCGCATCTTTGTCAGCTTCGACCAGCCTTCCAGACCGTGGTGCATCTTCGACATCAAAATTGCCGGATCGAAATTTTGCAAACCAGTTCTGGCACCGGCGTACTGTTAACACGCCTTCTCCATACACATCCGTCAATTTTTTTCTCGCTTGGACAGCATTTTTACCTTTTCTGAAGTAAAAAAGTAAAATATGACGAAAATGCTGCTTATTGCTCTCCATATTTAAAAGGGCACCAACCAAAAACTACTGCGTAGAATTAATAGAACTTTTTCACACACAAGCCTTGCAATATCAGCTCTCAATGGTTATGCGGCTTAAGTGTGAAGTTGGTTTCGAAAAAACGTAATTAAGTCCTCTGACGGGAAAAAACGAAATGACTTTCCGAACAACCTTATATATTATATACCAACTGAAACCATAACTATGATATCGATAAAAGCGCACTGTAATTGTTAACTATGTAAGAATCAAAATTATCCAATTGTTAGTAAGCACCTACATTGTTAATGTAACACTTTTACACCGAAATATAATCTCAAGTTTTAGGATGAACTCTGTAAAATGTATAAAAATTACATGGAAATATGTTTCCACGTTCGTTTAGGTGCCAAATTTTGCGTATTTTTGTGCCAAAAATATGGTTTCCCTTAGTTGCCGTTCTATAAGCGTTTAAAGCTTTAGTATGTCGCTACATAATTTTCAGCTTTTTATATAGCTTTCCAGTGTCAGTATTCAACAAAATAAATATCTTGGTCGTATAGTTAACCGATGCAAGTACGTTTCCAAGCATATTTAAGCGTGGCATGTATATACATACAACTTTAAACCATTGTTTAATCGATATCCAAAAAAATGTAATTGAACAAACCATTCGAAACATGATAAATATTTTATCGTTGTTCATACCGACGACGTCTACTTTTAAAGGATAACTAACTATATTTCGTCAGTATCAAGTATCGATTTAAAACATTTTGTTTCAGCAACAGTAATATTGCATTCGAATTGTGGTCGCAAATAGTTCACCTATACGCATCTAGGTGTAATAATAAATTTGAAATTTATAAAATTTCCACTATAGGTTCTCTCTGCCTCTCTTTCGTTCTACTTTTCTTGAACAGGGTATGACTCGTTGATCGAGTCGAATTTTGTTTGGTTATTAATCCTAAGATAGGTCGGTTTTGTTTATGAGGAGTGCACTTTTGCTGGCATTTTCTTAAGATATCCAAATCAAAGTATGTGATTGTTTTGAAGGAGTTTCAGTTGCCGTCAATTTATTTTTCAGCTTTTTTATAAGTATTATTTAAAGCTTCTACTGCGATGACACAGGCCAACAGAGACGTAATTGTGTAATTTTTAGGTGCAGAATCCAAAAGAGCTCGCCGATTTTGTCTATCGGATCTAGTTTTTGAGAAATATTTATAAATTTTTGTTAGCTGTGCTGTCCCGATGGCACAAGAATATTGTTTACCCCCTCTGATGTCCAAGGAGGAAGTTTACCACATTGAAATCAACGCAAATTGTCCACTGATGTTCTTAATTTTTTTTTTCGAAACTAGTTTCATATTCAACAGGAATTGAGACATATTCGTTACAGTTATGAAAAAGAAAACATTGTAAACTACGTTTTGAACTGTCAATAAAAGACGAGACTCATCAGTACTTGAAAAAAGTAGATTCTTTTCTCTGTTATAAAATCGTTCAGCTCTTCTTGAATGAAAAACTCTCTGTCAACCGTATTATGGAATCAGCACATTAGAAATATCTAAAGTCAGCTGTTGGATTTCCGGTATCATTATTTGCATTGTATTGCCCTGTGTAATGGTTCATTGACGTCTGCTATAGAGAAGAAAGTTTATAAATAATATTATTTAGACTGACGAAGCGCTTTCCCTGTTTTACGAAGCCATGACGTGGGCTTTGGTAAACCCTTCAAAACAATATTCCAAAAGGCGTGCGACGTATCGCATGGGTTTATTTGACAAGAAAACCGTCGAAAACAGTATCTGCTATGTGGGAAACAGTCCTGTATAAATTCATTTGTCGGTGATTGGCGTCGATAACGGCAACAGCGCAACTCATTCAAATTCGGCGCGTCATGTACTAGGATGTGGTATTGACATTAAAGCCTCCGCCAAACGTTTTGAGTGTTCCCTACTTTGATTGTATAAGCATAATCCCATTTTAACTAATACCAGAGTGCGCAGGCTGTATATCAGTACCTACGTCTTTTGAGCTGTTCAGTTTGTAAAGAAACCTTTTTTTAAGCATTCGCCGATGCGTTCCCGATGGAGCCGAACGGATATAACGGAACAGAATCAACAATTAATTTAACGTATTTTTCTCGTACACAAAAGCAACAAAATGTATGGAATATGTAAATAAAAACGTAACCCAATAACTTGGCTATTTATTTCCCCGCAAACAAAAGGCAGGAAAAGAAATCGTTCATTTATTCCGTTAAATATAATTCTCCGGGATTGAGTCGGCGAAGTCTTTATTGATTGTATCCTTTCTGATTTGCATTTTTATCAAATTAGGACAATTGAAAAGAATATTCTTTGTAATCGTTTAATTAAATTGAAATATTTCCCGTTTTTCTGTGGCTCTACGTCGTCCAAGAGATCGTTGTGATTTAACAGCGAATGAAAGTAATAACCCAGCTTTGGAAAAATGTGTTTTATTGCCGGTCGGGTATTCGCTGTTTCGCTGATTACCCGACTAATTCTAACGTGGCGATCCGAAAGGTAAGTATGGGGTATCGGTAGATCTGAATAATGGTCTATGTTATTTTATCAAAGTTAGAAAAAAGTCGCTCATATTGAAACCTCGTTTTATTTCAAAACAAATTTTAAAATAAATCAAAATTTTTATAATCAGTGGTATCCTGCTTTTAAATGCAGACATTCTTAATTGGCTTGCGATTTATTTATAATAATACAAGGCGAGTCGATAAGATTGTTTAACCCATTAATGACTGTGTGAAAATATAAATAAAAAAATTATATTTTTATCTATAAATCTATCTGTTTTTCACATATTTTGTTGAAACCTGCTATGTATAATTGGTTAGGTTACACTTTTCCTGAAAAATTTGTATTATTAAGAACGGCGTATTGGCAGAACATTTTATTAAAATTTGTAAAATTACTTTTAATTATTTAAGTAATAACTTTTTCTTATTGTCAGTTTCTTATCATTAAAGTTATTAATTAATGTACATGAAAAGTGTAACAGAACAAATATACATACCAAGTTTTAAAATATAAATAAATAAAGTTCAATGTCCTGTATTTTAGAAACTCGCCGGGAAGATAAAAAATATCACAATGAAAAGTCAACACTTTCACACTCACTGCCGGCTTATATCGTATTATCTGGCTTGTTAAATTTCTGTTAAAATTCTCATTGAGCGGTCGAATATTTTAGCCCTCCATCACCTTTGCTACTATTCGATTGGAATTTAATAACATGACAACCGAATATCATTTAAAATAATACTGACCGATATCGCTCAGTGATATGCGCAAAAATTCCCGCCCGTAGCGAATAATTAACATTGTATAGTAGATTATAATAATATTCTTACTGTCAGATGCATTTATAATGCTCTTTATTTATAATTGCGATTTTTTTATTTTATAATCCAGCACTGATTCTGAAAATATTAATTTAATAATTAAAGAAGGGTTTGGTCGATTCAAAAGTGAAAAGGCAACAGAAAACAAGAAAACCAGATTCTCGATTTAATAGGGTTAGAACAAGTTGTCCCTGTTTGGACATTAAATTTAATCTTCTATAGCCATAAGGCCGTTCTGCTGCATTTATGTAACCGTTATAACGAAGATTAAACAGGTCTTGTAGTTTGGCTTAATGGTTTGGTAAATATTTCTGTATAGCCTAGTCATAACAGAGCAAGACACGTTTCGCGAGGTTTATCCGTAAAACTTACCGATCAGGGCTCCCTAGGAGTTTTTAAGCTCGTTTATGTAGGGCGTATACAGTGTAGTCGCTTGTATGGGATTTTTCACCGCAATTTCAAAATATTCGACAACCATTTCAGGTGCTTTCATATGTCAATAATTTTAGCTTTATTGAATGCAATATTCTTTTTTTAATTAAAGTCTGTATTGCAAACTTACAAAAAGTAAAGTCTAGTCTTACGGCTACTCATACATATTACTAAATATAGAAATTACCAAATAAATAAAGCGAGGTTAACGATGTAAAGAATAGCGTTGTATAGAGACGAGCTAGACAATAGACATCTTGAAAATGAGAAAAAGTAAAAAGATGTAGTGCAGGCTTGGACTGGAAGTTTATAAAAATTAAAATTAATTCATTGAAATTCAAAACAAAACAAGTTTTAAAATATTATTTTTACCTACACTTATATTATTGTATATCCAGTTCTATGCCGCTATCGCTATCTTCACCTAAATTGATTATAATGATACGATTCTTTTTAACAAGGTGAAACCTCAGTAACAATAATATATATATATATATATATATATATATATATATATATATATATATATATATATATATATATATATATATATATACAGATTAATGCGATTGTCTTCGCTCAGTTTCCATAATTTTCTATCGCAAAAGGTTTCCGGATTAATATTTCTTGCTGCCATTGCTTCTTCACCTCGTCTCTCCAACTGCGCTTTGACCGACCACGTTTTAGTCTCTGCGAAGGAGTCCATTTTAAAATTCGTTTTGGCCATCTATCATCTGTCATTCTGTTTACATGTCCAAACCATACCAGTTGTCGCCTTTCTATTTCCTCTATAATGTCTTTTTCTATTTCCATTTTTCTTCTTACATCGATGTTTCTTTTTTTTTCTAATCGTGATACGCCCAAGCTTCTCCGGCAAAAATCCATTTCTGTAAATAATAATTTATTTTTACTGTCTCTATTCAGATCCCAGATCTCCGCTCCGTATAATGTCACACTTTCCACAAAGGAAGAGTACATTCGTTTTTTTGTTGTCTTCCGTATGTTCTTCTCCCATAGTACTGAGTTAAGTGTTCGGATTATCTTTCTTCCTTTTGCTACTCTTTCCCGAATTTCTTCCCTGCTATCTCCGTCTTTATTAAATATTATACCCAGATATTTATATCTTTCTACTCGTATCATTTTTTCGTTTTCGAGTGGTAGATCTCTTACTTCGTCATTACCTACAATCATGTATTCTGACTTCGTCATGTTTATTTTCAAACCGGCATGTACATAATACTCGTTCAGTTTCCGTACCATATAGCTCAGATCATCTGCGTCTTCGGCTATCACTATTTGATCATCAACATAGAAGAGGGTCACAAAGAGGTTTTCATCTACGGCTATTCCCATACCTTTACATTGTCTTATCTACGTTTTAAGTTTTTCATTTATATATCTTATATCTTAAACAATATTGGCGATAAGCAACAGCCTTGTCGTAGTCCATTCAGTAGTCAGTGGAGAAAGGTTCTGTTAGATGCATATTTGCTATTTTAACTCTTACAGTGTTGCGCTGGTACAGGTAATAATAATAATAACAGCCATATTATAACACTCTAGCTCAAAGTGCAAAGTGCACTCCGGTGACCACGCTGTATACGATGCGAATCGAGATGCCCTTTTCTTAGTTTCCCAGAACATTCAAATTAAATCATCCTGTATGCTTGTTACAATCAACATAATAGCCGATATTCACCATTTTGCGCCAGTACAAACAAAGTTATGCAAATTTCCACTTTCAAATTAAACATGTTTATGCTGTTTACCTGGGAGGTAAGTTTGAAGTTTGTCTACGGACGGAGAAGTTATTTTGCCGACGGCCGAACAGGATAAATACACGCAAAACAAGCCGCCCGGCAAAGTATTCACCTTTTCTGCGACGAAGTTAAATGCCAAATTTTGATGAAAACACGCCGACGTCGGGCTCCATTAGATCATTAAACATCACATCCCTTAAAAGGGTTAAGTTTAAACATTTCCAAAAGTTAACGCGTAGTCTCCTCGATAGATAAATGTTGAAGTTTTGGGTCTGACCGACGTTATTAGATCTCGGCGAGTATATTTTATTTCGAAATTCTACCTTGCGAGCGGAGCGCAGGCACACTTTTTTTTTTGTTTTAATATTTGGGCAAGCGAGAGAGCTAAAGCAAAATCAGGATCATTGGTAACGAATCGTGAAAAAGACCGGAGTCTGGACTATTATATTAGGTTACTTAACGAACTAAATGAGTAGAGTAAACTTGCCAATATTTTTATACCTTTTCGCAATGCCGTTTTTAATTCGGCTTTGTTTGCCGGGACAAACAGAAAATATTCAACGTCGAATTTTATAAGTAGGTATACATGGGAACAAGACCGGAATAAGTTAGAATATATTACGTGGATATTGTTTGAAACACAACGTCGGTGGTTTCTCTTCAAATATATTTGTTTTGATATTCAATCCTCCGAATCTTATCTCATTTTATCCGCGTTCAGCGCTAAAATAGCTCTTTATTAAGAAAGTTTCGGGTAATAACTTGAACGCTCTATCCCACAAGTATTAAGTAGAACATCGCCGAGTTATATACCGGGTGTACCCTACATACATCGTATGTGTTCCTTACGTTGTCTTGCGACTGTGCTGTGCTTTTTAAAATAAATTATTTTACTTATATTTGCGCAACAGACAGCGTTTCGGGTATTTCCCCAGACAACTAAGCCGTAATCTCATAATGCCATATCATCATTTGCCATATCATAAAATTCATAGTCGATCTTTCTAATTTTCTTTGTTCGATGTTGTATGAAACTAACCATTTTTTTATTGTTATAATCCGCTCAGCTTTTTGAACTGCAACCCCCCAAGTATCCCCAGCGATAATTAAGGCCGTATCATCTGCTAAGCAAAATACACAATTCTTGTCAATAACAGACGTCGAAACATGTTAAGAAGAAAATGGGAATAATATATTATGCAACAAGTGCGGTAAACGGCATTTGGCTCACTAGTTTATATGACACGAGCGGAGCGAGTGTTTAATAAACGGGTGAGTTAAAAAGTTTACTGAACGTGTTGCACACTATACTTTTTCTACGACCGTTAGTTTTTGGGTACATTTTCGCAAAACACGAATACATTCACTGACATGACTGTCAGAATTGATTGCTCCCAAACCCGTGCGGTAAAATCCCGGAAATGTCCGAAGTGGCTCGGATTCGTGGGAAACGAAACTGACGTGGTAAAGCGACGCTTCCCGCACGCTAGATCGGTGCGTGAGTTGGTATTTTACAGACGGGAGTAGAAAAAGAATTTTACATACCACACAGTGTGAGTTAAATGAAACGAACCCAAATCAACGTGTGTATTATACATATACGTAAACTGTTTTTTTATTTTGTAATAACGTATGTCAAAAACAGAAGTTTGTGCTGAAGCAACGTATATACAAATTTCGCACAGTAATAATAAATTGTGGATTTTATTCTTCCGAAAATAATAATTTTTAAATAAACCCCAATCTTCAGTTTGATTTATAATGAGTCCAAAAAGTTATAGGTAATATTATAATTTTTTTAGTAACCTAATTTTGTTAATCAATTAAAAACTCCTTACGTAAAAAACTACTTGGAGCCCGACAGTGGATATCCATATTAAAACTTTTCGGGACAATTATTAAGTTTAACCCAAGTTTTTATCGATAATTTCGAGGAACCAGTTTAAAAGTAATTGGTAGTTAGTAAAACACCGCCGGCGCTCTTAAATCGCCATGTCCAGATCTCGAGATTACACTTTCAATATTCATGTAAATACCGAACTCGGATTTTGAGAGGGAATTTTACTAACTGAACTTAAAATGATCATGTCGACCCTCGGGTCTTGTTCAAAGAGATTCCCGTCCCTTCATCAAGGTGTCGCTGGTTTCCTTTTTCCGCTTTCACCGTAAAAAGTCGACTCATTTCTCACACTCATAGCCATTTATTACACCTCCAAAACTTTTACGATTACCCTTATTATACCTATTTGACTTTGGTTTCGCCGCATGGGATGATACCGTTCGCTAAAAATTTATTGCTAATAAAAACCACAATCCAATGACAAACTACCACCAAAATCTTTAAAATTACTCGCGAACGAAATCATTTTCCGTTCTAAATTTTACTCCGCTTCTTAAAGCGTCACCGCCAAAAAATATATACTTTTTTTGCTCTCTCGAGAGGTCCAAACAAGAGGGGAGGAACATTGTAAAGCGACGAGGAAACTTGTATTAGATACAAGATTATAGAAACGGTATATGACGAATACTCCACATCCGTTTTCAGGCTCTGGAGTGTCTCATTACGAATGTCGGAGAAGTCTGTAGTGTATTTTCAATAGTTAGAATCTTTGGAGGGCCTATTTTATTTCTCCCCAACTGCTGATTGATAACGTCTGAATACAACATCCAATCATATTTTTCTTCGGCTAGAGGTCTCGTTATATATTTGAACACAAAAACGTATGTTTCAAAAATTACGGAAGTTCCACTCTATATTTTAAAGTCAGTATCCATTACACCTACTTATTCGGTAAATTATTTCGAAGCTTTTTTACAAATAGATAATTACATTTAAATATTGCCGTTAAGATTAGAGATTTCCGACTCCAATTTGCGATGATACAAAAGGAGTTTCAGCAAATGCTAGATGCGTAGAAAATGGTGCCTAGCGTTTTAAATACGCATTTAAACAAAACGATGACGTCAAATTGTTGTTTAAACTTGGATGCATCTTTAGTGTTTATATTTTAAAGCATAATTCAGGTGATATTCATTATTTCCGTAATATCTCCAGTAGTATTGTCCTAGCCAGCTAGCGATTTGCTTCTTGTGAAAATTTCTAGCATTTACCACATCTTCTGTATCCAAGTGATTTTTCGCTCTCAGATCCGAATGGTGTGCTCCATCCGGCATTAAAACCGCAGTTACCTTGGAAGAAATATTCTTTAAGACTCCGCCACCTGACCAAGGGTCCAATAGGCCGTTACTAAATACTATATTGGACGCAGTTTCGAGGTCGTCTCCTCCGTATTCCAATATTGGTACGTTTTCGTTTCTAGGCCGTACCGAATACTCCTTAAAACACTTCTCGGAGTACTCTGTAAAGTTGTAAGGAGTATTTTCGAACATGTCTTCGTCTGTGGAGCATATGGGCATTATCATATCGGTACACGATTGGAAATTCCATCCTTTTTCTCCCAAGTCGGCAGTCGCGGTCGTTTCTATATCATTGCACTTGGTTTGTTGGGTGTAATTGGTATAAATTTCCAACGCGGTACCTATCGCTTTGATCAGCCCGAGGTCATCGTGGTATTCCACGCTATCCAGTGTGTTGCAGAATACTCGAATGGGATTTCCGGGCAGTGGCATCAAAAAATCTGCTGGGTATGGGTAATTAACCATAGCCAAATTAGTATAAATCTCACTCATCCAATCGAGAAGCACATTTAAATCGTCTACTGACTTTACAATTGAACATAGCCTTAATATAGATGAAACGTTCGCTCTTCCATTGTCATCTTTTGCGACGTTCCTATAAAAAACAAATAAACTGTTTTTTTTTTAAGCTGCATTGTTTTCGAATAATTATCTTAATGTCGACAATAGGGTTGATGTTTTTACAATTTACAAAATTAATAATAATCTGGTGTTAAAAAAAAATCAAAAATTGTATGGTATGGCATAAATGTAGAAGTTTATAAATAAAATAAATATAATAATAAATAAATATACCGTATAATTAAGATTGGCTTAATCAAATTTTTATTTAAGAAAAACAAAAAATTATGTGTGTTACTTATGTTTTTATTATTTATATTGACTTATTATAAACATTTTAGTCTAGAATCAACTTTGAACAAATGCAAATAAAACTATTAGTACAGTTTTTTCAATAAACATAACCAACACGTACCTTATAGTAGTCCAAGATTTCCTGATGGTTTTTTCACATTTCTCGGAACCCAAATTCCTAAACACGTCCGTAACGATTTTATAAAAAGTATGGCAAGGCGTGATCCCCTTGAATTGAAAGATAGGAGCGGAACTAGCTATGGCCCCGATGACGGCGTAAGGGTATTTGATCCGAAGCCACGAAGACAACATGCCCCCGTAGGAACCCCCAAAAGCAACAACAGGCAATTTTTGGCCATCACCAATGGCGTACTGCTTTTGCAAATCATTTATGAGGTATACGTAATCCGCTAAAGCTTGCTGGGAGCTTAAATAACCCAAATGGGATGGGGAACTGTACGACAAATTTCCAAACGGCAAGGATGTTCCATAGTATCTAATAAATTCGTTAAATATATAAAAAGAACATACAATAAATGAGCTATAGATCACCTATGCTCGGCAAATACAATTAGAGCTTTAAATTCCGGTGCTGAGTCGAACAAAAAGCCAGTGTTCTGAGCAAACATTGAAATATCACCTTCATTACCCGTATAGAAAAATACCGGGCTTGGCTGCCGGAAATAAGTATCATTGACTAAATATCTCAGCTTGAATGTTGCGTTCGATGTAAAGCTGCAAAAAGCGTGCGAGATAAATGAAAATATTGTTCTAAAATTACCTTTACCTGAAATGATCCAAAGGCATTTCGATATATTTTGTAACGAAATCATAACAATTAACGCTTCTATAAAATGCAACACAACAAAACAATGCATAAAATCTCATTTTTCAACGAATGCGGTCCTAACTTTGACCTTAAATGAAGTGATAAACAAATTGACATTATCAATTGGATAAATCAACCAATCGAATTGGCTAGTCTACTAAGCAAGTGAAATACAAATGCCCTATTCTTTGTTGATATAACGGTACGCATATACAGATTATAATGAAATTATATTAGACAAACTCTTGAAAAAATATTGTAAAACGTTTTCTCAAATTAAGAAATTTGTTCATAACCCTTACACCCGACCATTTTGGGAATTAATTTAAAATTACCACGAGAGTGTAAAAGTGGTCCTATTGTTTACGTTTTTACGTTTTTTTCAATCGAATACAAAAAAACGTAAATTTCAAAAATTTTAGTGACATCTATCGATAAATGCGATAACGCACAATATCGCCATCTGTTGTAAAAATTATACACACTTTTGACGTTCAAGGAAATGTGACTTTCTGTCATTGTTGTTTGTTTTTGCAAATGGCGATAGTATGTGATGCTGATGTTATTTTAATCCTAAGCGGGTGATTTTATAATGGTTGGCTGCTGTTACTTTTACGTTCGGATGTGCGATTAGTGACAGTACATTATCGACAATATGATGTTATGATGGTTTAAAAATTTAAAGCAGTTAAGAAATGGAAACTATAGCTACAACTCAGGGCGCAGATTCTGACATGGACTGCTCTGATAATGAGGATTGTTACGACGATTATAATGACTATTACAACGACGATGATAGCGATGTTGAACACATAGATCCCAGGAAAGTGGATCCAGAACATTTTGACTATAAGTGTTTATCTGAGGAAGAAGTAGAAAGACTCCTAAATGAAACTGTAGAAGGTCTCAGTAATCGTCTTCATATTCCTCCCTCATTGGCCAAAGTAACTATTGCTATTTATTTACTTTTCTAGAGTCTAATGAGTGTCTTTATAGGTTTTATTACATAGTCATAACTGGAATATAAATGAAGTCATTTGTAAATATAAAGAGAATCCCCAACAAACTCTTGTATCAGCCAGAATTGACCCTCCTTTACCTCCAAAAAGCATTATTTTTACTTCAAGTTGTATGAACTGCCCTGTTTGTGTTACTCCACAACATATAGATAAGTTTTTTCACTTATCCTGCGCCCATATGTTTTGTAAGGATTGTTGGGCCATGCATTTTGAAGTTCAGGTCACCCAAGTAGGTTTTAGTTGCACAAATAAAGATTCGTGCTATTTTATTTAAGTTTTTTAGGGGATATCAACTGCTATCAGTTGCATGGCACGTGATTGTGTGGTTCTAGCTCCTGAAGATTTTGTGTTAAAACATTTGCAGCATAAAACATGTATTCGAGAAAAATATCAACATTTTACTTTCCAAGATTATGTCAAGTCTCATCCAGAGCTAAGGTTTTGTCCAGGCCCAAATTGTTCTGTTGTTGTATATAGTAATGAAATTAAGGCCAAAAGGGCTGTTTGTGAAAGATGTAAAACTGCATTCTGCTTTAGGTAGTTTAATAGTCTCTTATTAATACAGCAGCTTGTTAATCTCTTGTGTCTTTTAAGGTGCGGATGCGATTATCATGCACCAACTGATTGCCAGATCATAAAAAAATGGCTTACGAAATGTGCAGATGATAGTGAAACAGCTAACTACATTAGCGCTCATACCAAAGACTGTCCGAAGTGCCACATATGTATCGAGAAAAATGGGGGTTGCAATCACATGCAGTGCTACAATTGCAAGCATGACTTCTGCTGGATGTGTCTGGGTGATTGGAAATCACATGGATCGGAATATTATGAATGCTCTAGGTATAGGGAAAATCCAAATATTGCCCATGAATCTGTCCATGCACAGGCTAGGGAAGCATTAAAAAAATATCTCCATTATTATGAAAGGTGGGAAAATCACTCAAAGTCTCTGAAGTTAGAAGAACAAACTCTAGAAAAACTCAGGTCACGTATAAATCAAAAAGTGATGTCAGGATTGGGGACTTGGATTGATTGGCAATATTTGTTTACTGCAGCCAACCTTTTAGCAAAGTGTCGTTATACTTTACAATATACATATCCTTACGCTTACTATATGGATGCGGGACCGAGAAAGGAGCTATTTGAGTACCAGCAAGCGCAGCTGGAGGCTGAAATTGAAAATCTGTCATGGAAAATTGAAAGAGCTGAGACCACTGATAGGGGAGATTTGGAGAACCAAATGGATATTGCAGAGAAACGAAGAACTACGCTTTTGAAAGACTTTCTTGATGTGTGATATTTTTTAAGTTAGTTTTTTTTTAATTGTTCTAGCAATTGCAATGTTGCCAATAGTTTTGGCTCATTTTTCAACAACTTAACTGTGATTGTATGAGCAAAAAAATCAGGCAAGTCACAAATACAATCTTTAGGTTTGCATTTACAGAAGTTGAAGGAATATTTATGGTACACTTCATGGAAGTATTTGGAAAAATCTGAGGAGCAATAAAGATATTTTTCAATTAGGAATTTTACAAATTTTAAGTGTCTTTCAATTGCGCGCTTTTATTTTTCACAGTGGGTTCCATATTCATGAAAAGAATTTCTGTAAATAATTTTAAGAAACTTCCAAAGTCACTAGCAATTTAGAATTAGAAAAATTTGTATTTTTGCAGTTTACAAATTAACATGTTGAAACTACAGTATATATATATATATATATATATATAGATTCATAGTAAGAATACCAATACATTATTTGCGATGGCAAATTAATCATTATGTTGAACACAAATCTATTTATTTTGTTTAATAAAATATTATAGATGAAAAACAAATTCTAAAAATCTGGTGTTTCTACACTTAAATATTTTTATTTAACACTTTGTTACTTGTTTTCAGAATTATTGTAAATAAATAAATCTAGGATTTTTTTTATCTTTGACTTTGGAGTTTGATATCGTGACCAGTTTTTACATTTTGTATAACATGTAGTTATAACTTGATTTTAGAATGTAAACGAATTTGATTTTACTTGATATTTCCATTTTTTTAAAAGTTGGGTGTACACTGATTTAAAGAACAAAAATGAAGGGGATTTTAATTCTGTGTTCAAAAATTCGTTTCTTATAAGTTTAAGCGCCTTATCTTTGTTCGCGCGGCTGATGCAGTCATTTTTGCATATGGTTCTCGATCATAAATTATAAATAATAAAAGTAAATTGCTTTTTATTAACTATATATAATAAATGAACCCAAGTAACTCATTACAATGAAATTTAATATTGCACTTTCTGAACTATGAAGGGTGGATTTTTGAGGTTAAATTATCGGTTCTAGTAAATATAATTCAATTCTATCATTAGTCATTGAATATTACACCTTTTTGATAATTCTAAATACAAGTTAATCCAAAGTCCAAACATTGGTGGGCGTTAAAGACGTCATAACAGTTTGTTTATTCATAAATATTGAAAAAGGACGCACAAAGGGGAAACGATATTCCAAAAGGAGACAGGTTAAGATGTGCGGTGTCATCGACTGATGACGTCAGATGCGTAGTATATAACCTTAAAAATTACATTTCAAGCAATCGATTTACGCTGAGAATGGCGACAAGCCATATGTTGCAGTTTGTTGTTTTTTTAATATTTTTCCTTTTTAATGAATTGTCATGGGCTTCCGACATAAAGAAATTCCCTTTGCTTATGCCAAACGTTCATCCTGACAGAGTAAGTACTCATACCTTTCTTTAAACAGTTTTTTTTTCAACCATTCCTGATGGCCCTTGGGTTTCTAGGATGAATTTTATGTATGCACTCCAATCAAAATAGTAGGCGATAAGGACTTTTACATTGTTGGCTTTGAACCAAATGCTACTATGAATGTAGTGCATCATATGTTGTTATTCGGTTGCTCAACACCTGGAGCAGATGCTGAATATTGGTAAGTGAACCTGTATTCAGTAACAATTACCCCCTGCTTAATGATTGTTTCAGGGATTGCGGTGAAATGGCCGACCCAGCTAGTGATAACGGGAGATTAAAAAAAGCCAGTCCTTGTGGGTCTGGATCTCATGTAATTTATGCATGGGCCCGAAATGCTAAGCCTCTGAAACTACCTGACGATGTCGGTTTCCTAGTTGGTAAAAACACACCTATACAGTATTTGGTGCTGCAGATACATTATTCAAAAAAATTCCCTGAGGAAAATACGGACAACTCCGGATTGTTTCTGTTGTACACTGAGCAACCGTATGTGGAAAAATATGTACTGATGAATTTTTATAAATATTTTTTTTCAGGCAAAGTAAATTGGCAGCAGTGCTCTTATTGGCTGTTGGAGGAGTGATTCCACCTAAGTCTGTTACCCACATGGAAGTTGAATGCAGAATAAATGAAAGGAAAACAATATATCCTTTTGCATATAGAACTCATACTCATGGATTAGGAAGAGTGGTGTCAGGGTATAGAGTGGTGAGAGATGACGATGGTGTAGATCATTGGAATTTACTGGGAAAGCGAGATCCATTGACGCCACAAATGTTTTATCCTGTATTTGATAAAACTCCTATTAAATATGGGGATAGAGTAGCAGCAAGATGTACGATGGACAGCTCATCTAGAGATAGATATACGGAAGTGGGGTGAGAACAATCTTGTATTGCGTCGTGGTTATATGGCAATCATAACAACTTTTAGTCCAACCAACAATGATGAAATGTGTAATTTTTATCTAATGGCTTATGTAGAAGAAGGTAATCCATTAGAGACCCCGCAGTGTTTCAAACCTGGCCCGCCAAATTATTCCTGGGAAAGTGATCATTTAAATAATATACCTGATGCGGAAGCTTCATCCTTATACTGAAGGAACTTGACCAAACTGATCTACAACATAATATACCTACATGTGATTATAAAGTCTATTTAAAAATTAGTGACAGTATTTTTGTAAGTTGTTTTCAATGCACATTTTTAAAAAATTTTTATTTTATATATCTACTTAAAGAATCTCTATATCTATTTGATTATTTATTTATTTATTTATTGGTCTGTTTAAATCATTCTCAGTACTTAAATTGTTATAATTGCATTCCAGAGGCTCTAAAATATTTTTTTAGACTCTTGTACCTTGCCTTTCAGGGACTTCCAGTATGTATTCATATCAGCACATTTTAGTTGCACAATTATGTCTCGAAATCACTATTGAAATGTTTCAGAATTATATTTTAAAAACCTGGTTGCACATATAACTCTGAAACATTTAATCGTCTGTAGATTAACTATAGTTATAGTACCAAAATTAAGTCAAATTACAAATTTGATGTAGGGACATTAATTCAATTAAAAGTGTTTGAATCTGTATTATTGAATAATATAACATTTAAATAATATTTAAGATAAGACATTGCAGAAGGTGTACATTTTCCTATAATGCTTCCTAGGACAATAGTTGACGGCATTTCCCGTACAACGATTTTATTTTAATTAGACCGCATTAATCATTTACATTTATGAGATTTTATGTATGTTACAATATATTTTGTTAGCCAGCTACTTAATGATGTGATATGCACTATAGTATATAGATGAACCTATGTGTTATTCAGTTATTTCAAAAATATATTTGAATTGTTATTAGATAAATGCACATAATAAATTTTTCAAAGCCAAAAAATTTTTATTTTCGCTTTCTAAAACGAAGACGTTTTAGGGAAAATATAGCAATAGCAATGCTGATTGATGTCATTTCCGGAAATGTTGCCATTAAATCCAAAGGAATATTAAAGAAAAATTAGTGTTGTAGTTCTAATTTTACTGATCAAAATTAACAAACTTAACAAATTTCGGGATAAATTTTTATCACTACAATGAATGAAGATTGTAAGCAAAATGAACTAAACTACCCTTTGTCTGTTGTCTGTGTCGTCGGTTTATTCTGTGACTCTTCGTTGACGTTTGTCAAAAAAAAGTCTGTCAGAATGGTGGCATTTTATTACTAAAGTTTTTATATAAATAAAATTTTGTAAATAATCAATATAAACAGCATATACCTAATATTTATTTTTAGCGTGTTTTGTTTGGAAGCGCATTTATGAAATATGTATTAGAAGATGGAGGAAAAAACTGGAAAAAGTTGGATATTTTTAATGTGTTAGGATTTTATAACTCAATAATAATTGTTTTAATTAGATCTCCGTTATCTAATTTGAAGTATTACTCACACTGTATTTCAAAATGAATTATCAGATGGATAATGTCAACTAAAAAAAATGGGTTGGTTTATACCCTTTTTTTTACAAAACTTGCCAGTTCATTTTAAATTTATTTTTAGAGGATGGAGTTGTGAATTCTGAGGTAAAATTTGAAAATATGGGTGCAACTACTAATCCAAACACTGCCCGACTTGCAACTTTGCAAGAAAGGAAAAAGCAAATAGAAGAAACACTTTCCAAACGAAATCTTGAACTAAGACAATTATGTATTCAAGTAATATAGTGATATTGTCTACTTGCTTGTTGTCATTATGTTTCATTATCTTATATTTTAGGAAGCAGAATTGACAGGCATTACGCCTCCAGAAATGCCTCTAGAGGCAGGGGAGACTTTACCCCCTATCAGGAGAAGAGTAGGAACAACTTATCAGTTGAATGAAAATCTACTCAAAAATACAAATAAGGATGAGTTAATAGCTCAACTGGAATTAGAAATACAGCTACAAACAAATCTGGCTGAAGCTGCTCTTGGATTGGCTAATGAGCATAATATGAGCAAGGTATATATATATGGGTTATTAAAAAATCTGTATATTTGTTAACATAGGTATGTAGTTATTGTATTGTATAAATTTGTGCAGACTCTAAAACGCAGTCATAGAGCTGAGTATCAGAAACATAAAGCTGAGTGCATAGCATTAAGGGAAAAATTGGCAGCATTATTGAAAGAAAAAACTGCTGCAGACCAGGTTAAGCTGAAGAAAAAACCAAGAGTATCAGAGTTTCAAGGTATTTTCATCTATGGCTAGTTGTTTTTGTTTAGTGAAATATCAGTTTATCATTTTAATACACTTCCTCTAAAATCACAGTTGTGTCTGATAATTTGTGTTATTTTTAGATGATACTGTTTCTATAGCGACTACCAATGAAGCAGTTTTAAGACAGTCAGAAAGTCATCACACTCAGTTATCTTCTAAACACAGTTTAAATATACCAAGCCCTGTAGAACAATACCCAGATGTACGATACTCACTCAGCATATCTAGAAATCCTTATAGAAATTCAGAAACTTCTTTTTATCATTATTCTAAACCAGATGATGTTGTTACTTCTGGCATTTATAGATTAAGTTTAAATGGTTATAGAGAATATCTGGAGCGGCAGCATGAAAGTGTTGGTGCAGTTCATGGCTCTCCGCACAATTATTATCCTAACCAAAATTTGACTTATAGTTATGCTCACAGTTCAAGTAACCAGTCAATCCTCTTGGGTCAACATTTTTCTCAACACAGCCCTCAAGTGCCCCAGCACGTTTCCCAAAATAATTTCCATATGTCACAGCATAGTCCTTTATCTCAACACAGCCCGCAAATGCAGTCTCATAGTCCACAGTTATCTCAAAGTCCAGTTTCCCAGCATAGCGTTTTACATCAAAGAAGCTCTCAGAATATCAATAACAATTACCCAATAAGAATCCATCAAGATTATAACAATAAAGTGTCTATGTCGAACAGTGCTGCAATGCATAGGCAGTCTAGCCCCACAACAAGTAATTTTGTACCTCAAAAAGTGTATTATCCATCTCATACCATACATGGCGATCCAAGTTATAGATACACCATTGATGGTGGATTCAGAAATCCTCATCAAATTCAGCCTCACCAGCAATATGAACATAACGGTATGGCTACCGGCTTAGGTGGCTATTGGAAACAGTCAGACAGTGGGGAAATGTTTTGGTGTTACTCAAATACTGTTGATAGCAATTGGCAAAGAGATCGAAGGTGCGTCTGTTGTTTCCAGAGACATCACTTGCACAGACAGTGCTTTATTTCAGATTCGGGAGTTTGGATAGAAGAAAAAATAAAAGAATCCACAAAAGAGTGTCTCCAATTGAAGATAAGTCGATCCCAGTACCTTCATTGCCAAATCACAATGATGATCAAATCAAAACTGCTTTTATCAAACCCTCACTGGTAACATTTTTTCCTGATTTTAAATTATAATTTAATTTTTCTGTTGTAGGTAACAAATAGAAAATCCCAAGACCATAGACAGTTGGTTAGAACCCAATCTTTGGGTAGTGTTGGGCAAACTATAGACAGTGTCTATCCAAGTGATGATACCTCATCCTGTGAAAGTGATAATCGAAGTCTCAAGGCAATCAAAAAACAAAAAGAAAAAGAATGGTAAGAACCTCATCCAAAATTTTAGACAAATTTGATTTTTTTTTTCTAAATAGGTTGGAAACATCCTTAGATGGCCCAATTTCCCCGGCACATTCAATAATTTCTCATTCCCAATCGATAATTTCATCTGTGTTAGCACCAGAAGAAAAATATTTAGTCCATCATTCCTCACCTCCTCCTCTGCCACCGCCATATGAGACCCCACAAATTCCGCCACCCTTAACTCCTAAGCCAGTTTTAGAAATTCCAGCTGAATCCAATCCTTCTCCAAGGATAGCTGAGCAGCCTAATGTTGAATTGTTGAATAATAACATGCCTAAAAATTGCACTGTGGTACAAGCTGGTGTCTGTAAACCTTATCATGAAGAAACCAAACCCTTTGAGATGTCTGATTTTTATAAATATTCAACAAAATTTAAACGTTCTCCAGCGAAAGCTGAGAGCAAAAGTGTGCAGCACAATCAATCGCAGGCTTGCAAAAACCTAAATGAGAGCTTTGAAGATGTGGGTTTGAAAAGTCCATATCACTCGCCGCATCACATCAAAGTCCAACACTACACACACGCGTAGGTATATTATGAAATATTTTAATGCTGTGAGCTGGCTTGTTTCTTCTTTCTTTTTTATTAGAGTAACCTTTTTTTTTAGGAACACTAGCGGAGACAGTTCAGGTAATTTAAATAACAGCCTGGATTTAAGTCAGATCGCGGTATCAGAGCATTTTTCTGCTGAAATGAATGCTTGGTATAATGATCGGGATCAGCATCTTGATAATAATAATTCCAATTCATCAAAAAGTAGGTCTAGTGCCACTTTAGTTTAATTAAAATGGTTTTTAAAGTGTAGGTAAAATGGTTTTTAAATTTTTCTAAAGAAAATCATTTATTTAATTATTACAGTACAATGCAATAAAAGTGTACATATGTTTTATGTGGTATGTAGGTGTGTATAAATGGATTGTTAAAACTGTTAAATTTGGAAACATTTTTAAGTGAAATGAGGTTATCATGCAATGATATTAGTCGTGTGGTTAGAATATATGATGTTTCCACTTCAACTGTTGATATATTTTTATAAGTATTGTCTTTAATATTAATTAAAAACCATACATTCAGATATTTATATTTTGATATATTATCTCATGGTAGAAGTCACAAACATCTGTTTTTTATTCACATTTGAGAATTTGCTTCTACACCCTTTGAGAAATGAAATTCTATATATGCTTCAACCCTTGTAGTCTTGGTAAAATAACAGGGGCCTATTCAGAAGGAGTAAGTTAAAATTGACAAACAAAAAGGGGTGAAAAATATTTTGTGAATCACTTGTGTGTGTTAATTTTAAATTTCTCCCATTTTCTACAATTAAAAGGATCTCACAATGTACTTGGCACTTTGACCTGTAGTTTGCCATTATACTGTATAATAAATATGAATTTTATAGAGTTTATAGAAAAGTAGTTCAAATGTACTGTTGGGGACCATATCAGTTAGCAATCAATAATGAAAGGTATTATGGTTGATCCATAGAATTAGAATAAAAATGTGATTTTTGTTGTTGAAATTAAATATGTAGTTAACTGATTATTGATTTTTGCAGCGATCAAGGTATTTTTAGTATTTATCACTATTATCACGTCCGTGTGGACATGAAAATTGACCATTCCTTTAAGTACTGCAAAGCACTTAGTGCCTTTCTAATACTGCGGGATAAGAGAAACGGTTGCTTGTAATGATTTTTAGCAATATTTATTGGATTCTTGGACTGAACCAAAGGAACTGTTTTCAGCAGTTTTGTACTACTCGTTTTTTATATATTTAAATAAAATGTGTTCTTTATCTGGTAATTTCACTAGTACCTCCAAATAAAAACTTACAAACGTAAAAACATTTTCTTTTATTTCATATAACCCATCATAATCAGTCACATATTACCAATTTTAGGTGAAAAAAAATTGAACATTTATTGAGTTTTTGCAGTAGGTGGTGTATTTGGGAAACTTATTTTTTGTTCAATTAAAAAATTTGCGGAAAATCGCTTAGTTTAGAACAAATTCAATGAATTTAATTTTTCCTTAAGTAAAAATATAAAACACTTCATATATTTGAAAAAAAATCATTTTTTGTAAAAATCCAAATTATATTTTGGACTGCCAAATATAAATACTAAAAAACCGAATTTTTTCCAGTTACGTGAAAATATATTTTATTTTTTTTACGCCAAAACCGTAGATCCCAATAAAAAAGATAAAGGGATCGAATTTTCTTTAAATGAAAGTAGTTATTAAAAATAATTTTTTCTTTGCACAAAAACAGTGATGTGGCTTTTTTTTTTCTTCAAAAACAGTCAGTTCACGCTTGGATTCTTGCATTGAGCCCAATTATCAACAGTTTTATAATATGAATTCTGTATTCGATTCTTTATACTTTTCTAATATAGTAACGATAATTAACCAGTTGGAATTTGCTTCCGTGATTTTGTTAATACATTGAGCTCACTTTTACGGTGCTATATTTATATGTACTAAATAATTTATAAAAAAAACCTCAGTCAATGCCCCTTCAACTAAAATAAAAATGTATTTTTGGATGAAAGAGAATTCAAATTTTTAGAATAATATCTATTGAGTTGAGTTTTTGTTATACCGTTTAAATTGAACCAGATAACGGTGTTAAGTGTTTACCTCTCAAAATGTGATCTCGGGTCATGAAACTAGAATTTAATCATTTAGAAAGTAATCCACTTGTTTTCGCGGATCAAATTTGAAAGAATAATCCATCTTGCGCCGACTCGGTTTTTTCCGTAGCATTTCCGGTACGTCATCGACTTGACGAACTACGAGCGCAGGAAAGGAGCTCAATTTCGTAGACTCCTCCTTTTTAACTGGCTCGTCGCCCGGTGCGGTTGCCGATCCTTTAAGTTATTGAAGTCTTAGTGTTCTTCGTCAATTGAGTTTTCGAATTTGTTGCATTTATTCGATTTAACTAAGTAAGTATACGTTCTATTATTTCTTGCACTGCGTTTTTCTTTGGTTCGATATTTCCATGAACAAATTTGTTCACCACGTGTCAAATAAGATTCGATATAATGGCCGCCATATGTTGAAGATCGTGTTCTTTAAATTTTCGAAGCGTTGAAAAGCCTTTTAGAAGTTTGCTTGTTCATTTGGATAATTGGGGAAGTTATAATTTTCAATTCTGATAGATAATTTAGTCATGTTGGCATGTTGATTGACAGCGATGACTAATTATAAATTGCACGATTTTCTGCAGTCCACCTGTTGTTTTTTAGTTATTAGGTTTCTCAGCTTTCTATTTTTACTAATGGACGTTTCTTTTGTTACAGATAATCCAAAATGGGTAAAGAAAAGACTCATATTAACATTGTAGTCATTGGTCACGTAGATTCTGGTAAATCTACAACAACCGGCCATTTGATTTACAAATGCGGTGGTATTGATAAACGTACCATCGAAAAATTCGAAAAAGAAGCCCAGGAAATGGGTAAAGGCTCCTTCAAGTATGCTTGGGTATTGGACAAACTTAAGGCAGAACGTGAACGTGGTATTACCATTGACATTGCCTTATGGAAATTCGAGACCGCAAAGTACTATGTTACCATTATTGATGCCCCTGGACACAGAGATTTCATCAAGAACATGATTACTGGTACTTCTCAAGCTGATTGCGCGGTACTCATTGTCGCAGCTGGTACTGGGGAATTTGAGGCTGGTATCTCCAAGAATGGGCAAACTAGAGAACACGCCTTACTTGCTTTTACTCTTGGAGTAAAACAACTTATTGTTGGTGTCAACAAAATGGACTCCACTGAACCACCGTACAGCGAACCTCGTTTTGAGGAAATTAAAAAGGAAGTTTCTTCGTACATCAAGAAGATTGGTTACAATCCTGCAGCTGTTGCTTTTGTACCCATTTCTGGTTGGCATGGGGATAACATGTTGGAGCCGTCTACCAAAATGCCATGGTTCAAAGGATGGAACATTGAACGCAAAGAAGGCAAGGCTGAAGGAAAAACCCTGATTGAAGCTTTGGATGCCATTTTGCCTCCTAGCAGACCTACCGACAAACCTCTTCGTCTTCCCCTTCAGGTGGGTATTAATAGAATTAATTTTTATTCCTAATTCGATGAAAATTTTTCTATTGTATTCCAGGATGTCTACAAAATTGGTGGTATCGGTACAGTACCAGTTGGTCGTGTTGAAACCGGTGTATTGAAACCCGGTATGGTGGTAGTTTTTGCTCCTGCCAACATCACCACTGAAGTTAAATCTGTGGAAATGCACCACGAAGCATTGCCAGAGGCTGTTCCTGGTGACAATGTAGGTTTCAACGTCAAGAACGTATCTGTTAAGGAATTGCGACGTGGCTACGTTGCTGGAGACTCTAAAAACAGCCCACCCAGGGGAGCCACTGACTTTTTAGCTCAGGTTATTGTACTCAATCATCCCGGACAAATTTCCAATGGCTACACTCCAGTACTCGATTGCCACACTGCTCACATAGCTTGCAAATTCGCCGAAATTAAAGAAAAGGTCGACCGCCGTTCCGGAAAAACCACTGAAGAAAATCCGAAGGCAATTAAGTCCGGAGATGCTGCAATTGTCACTTTGGTACCCACCAAGCCAATGTGCGTCGAGTCATTCCAGGAATTCCCGCCTCTTGGAAGATTCGCTGTGCGCGACATGAGGCAAACCGTCGCGGTCGGTGTAATCAAACAAGTCAACTTCAAAGAGGGCGGCGCCGGCAAAGTCACGAAAGCCGCTGAAAAAGCAGCTAAGAAGAAGTAGTAGTTGTCCATCCATTTCTTACTACTACTTACCTTTTATATTTGTTTATAAGTGAAATTTTGCATTTTACCGAAGTTTTATTTACTAAAAATGACGTGATCTGTATGATAAAAATTTTGTTCAGGAAGTTCAGACCAATAAACAAGTTTCCTAATTTATTGCTTTGTTTCACCCAAACAAATCCTATTTTGGGGTTTACATTGAGACATGGATTCCGAAATTCTATTGCGCCAATTCTGTACCATCCTATATGGTTTTAAAAAAAAAAATTAATCAAGCGGGCATGAAAAGGACCAGATTGATTTCATCTCTATCCCTTCATTTGACATTTATATCCATTGCTTGCAAAATAATAAAACTGATTCCACTTTGTTGTCAATATTTTATTTTAAAGTAAATTGAGGTACATCTTATAGTGTCCAGTTCTAAATAAAAATGTACAAAAAAAACTTATTATTTAAGTCGTAATAGTATGGATGCGGATGTAGATAAAGAGGTACAGAAAACAAATAATTTGAACTTTTAAATACGTTATAGATGTTATCAATAAAAATATTTCCATAAAACTTTACAAAATAAATAAATTTAAATTTCATAAATAAAATAATGACGGTAAAATAAATTATGTTAATAATTAAAAATAAGAATTGACATTTTGTTCTTTGTTTATTAGGTGGTATTTGGTTTTTATGTACAATGTACAATGAACAAAAAAGCCATATAGGGCGTTTCATTTGACACTTACAGCATTGCACTTTATAGAAACGAAAATATAGAAACATTAACAATATATATATATATATATATATATATAATATTTTAATTTCATCAATGGTTTTCCGGACACTCTTTGTAGTTTGTAGAATTAAAGTGACCCTCACAATTGCTTTTTTTTTATAAATATTGAAAACCGAAAACTGTATTTTTTATATAGTTCTGTATTGATGTGATTGTTTGTGAAATCGGTTTATAACTAAAGTATAGGTAAGTATTAGAAAAACCACACATTTACAGCAATAAGTATAAATTGTTTCTATTCTCGTATAAATTTTTTTGAAGTATTTTATTGAAAACGTTAATGTTTTCGGATTATAAAATGTTCGAAATTGATATCGTAAGCGAGTAATTTATTCTTTCTTCTTACTGCAAGACTCAATTCGCAAGGCTTGAAATTCTGTCTTGCGAAAGTGCCTGTGAAAGCAGATATCTCTGTAACGATTTTAGAAAACTAATAACCTTTTTCTACTTAAAGCTAGAGGGTATAAATTTGATTTTATTAAGTTTTTTTTTTCTATTTTCCAGTTAGTTTGAAACTTAGGTTTTGGTGTTGCAAAAAAGCTAAGGAAAAAAAGTCTTTTTATACTCAAAATTTCAGGATGACAAGCTTGCTAACGTAGTAGGCATTACGTATCCGTCACACGTTCCGGTGACGCTTGGAGTCGCCCACACTAAAACTTGTTTGTAGTTCGCTTCAATAACATTTTTCAACGATGTCGCTGGCATCGTTGAGTAGTTGAACAAGTAACTCGGGTAGAACGTCGCTTGTTCGATAATAATATGAAAAATTATATCGATATTTAAAGAATTTTAGTCGTTAAAATGTAAATAGACCATTTAGAAAAAAGTGCGCGTCCATCAACTGAATTTTGAAGACAGTTTCGAAGAATCGGCTTCGTTCTGGGAATGGTATTTAGAAATTTACCTTTATGAACTTACTTGGCACTGGAACGTATATTGTGAATTCCAAGTATTATGGTGCATCACAGGACGATATAAGTAAGTTATTTTCGTCTAATGCGGTGTTTATGTGGGAAAAAGGGCGCAATGTTAGTTGACGTGCTTGTATCTTGTTGTATATTATAGGTTTCTATATTTATTAGCTTTGTTTGTGTATGCGCATTGATCAGTGTTGTTTATTTATAACCCCTAGTACGATAAATTATTAGTTAACTGGAAATTAAAGGGCACGTGTTACGTCCTATCGACGCAAAAGACGTAAAAACCCAACATCAGTGATTGTTTATAATCAAAAATATTGAAAGTAAAAATAGGTATTTATTAATTCTCAGAACTTATGTATTTTAAAATTTTGTGATAAAATGAACCATATTGCAAAATCATTTTTAATTATATTTCAAAGGTATTTTGTTTTTTGAAATTATTTGTGCATTTTCCTCAATAACTTTGCTTCCACGACCAGTGAAATTTATGACTGAAGAGTAGATCCTGAGCGTTACTTAGTGGCAAAATATTGCGCATTCTTCCGTTTCAACCTATCCTGGACCTTTTCCTGGTTAGTTTCGTGGTTACGGCAGTTGTATTCCATGTAACATCTCCGACCACAATCATCTCGCGTCCAGTAAGTAAATTTAGTGCCGACACTTTTCGCCTCCAAAGAAAATAAAGTTTGAAACTTATCTTGAAACAAACATAAATTATATTATATATATATATATATATATATATATATATATATATATATATATATATATATATATATATATATATATATATATATATATATATATATATATATATATATATAACCTGGTGTTGATGTTGTACAACTGGTTAAGACATTTTTGCTTTTTTGATGATGAATCGTCACCGAATGCAAATGCGATTTACTCCACAAGTCGGTTTTTCCAATATCTGTTTGGTCTGGAAGATTTGTTAATTAGTTTCTGCAATTCGCAACTACTTCGTTACCCGAACAAATACACACATTCGCATCACGTTTTTAATTATTTAATTAGTTCGTCGCCATTGGCTCTACCGATGCATTTAAATGATAATTAATAAGAGAGGTGGCTATACGCATGTAAGTGTTTTTCTTCGTAATTATTTCGTGGCCTGTTAAAAAGGCTTTTTAACTTTTTTCTCAGCTGCGCTTAAATATAAATAGACTCGTAAATACGGTGTACCAGAATAAACCTACCTAATCTCTGATGGCCTTTCGTTCGCTGTCCTCGAATTCTTATTCCTTTGGTTATTATTCAGGCACGTAGGTAACCACCCAAAATAACGAGAATAAAAACATGGGAAATGCATTAAAGATACGATTCTCGGGGGTCATTTGACCTTTTTCTATCACCTGTCCACCTGATATCGATCTGGTGTTAATTTTAACCCACGGCCGGGTTATCTACGTTACGATTTTTTCGTGATCAGTTGGGGTCGATTAAATTGGTTGACATTTTAAAGAACTTTCGGAGCAATTTTTGTTTGTTGTTTCAATATTATGTTTTTTTTTTACGTTGATGTTGACAACAGACAATGACATTTTTTATGATTAAATTGTACGCAAAAATAAATATAAGAACTGATTTTCACAAATTGTTGATATTACGTTTTGGGAAACGCACTTAAAAATGCAAATAAATAGCTGCATATTTTTCTGAATTTTTTTTTCAAATCCTTGAATAAGATGGGCCCGGTACTGTCCTAGGCCTCTTTGTAACCTCAAAATGACCGGTTTTATGAGTACCATTAGCAATAAGACATTTTGAGAATTAAATTGTCTATATTTTATTACACTGTTATAATCCTGGGACAGCTATAAATGATCGATAAAATCGTTAGTGTCATGAAAATTCCCGAACTAGTCGGATAAGACTATAAAAACTCTGACAAGATGCTTTGTTGCAGTAGTTGCTGTTAGGATCATTAAATTATCAACAGTCTTTATCAACGCATTAAATAGTCAAGTTGCAAAAACCTTGTTAAAAATGTCAATTTAAAAAATTCAATGGTGAATAATTTTAATTGACTGTTGACAAACTATTGATATTAAATTCTACAACAGCCTTCGTTTAATTGGTTCCCACATAATTTTACAAATAATTGCCTTTACAATAAATCTCAGTTGGATCTTTGGACGTCAAAAAATTTATATTCATGTTTAGAGAGTATCCGATGTAACGGTGTCAAACAATTCTCTTTTGAATACTGAATGTTTTTCAGTACGTTTCGTCGGAATTTTAACGTGGCCTGTGATGGTTTGTGTTTATTTATTGACCTGCTGGTCCAAGAATACAAAACGATATTTGAGAGACCGTTTTATACGACTTTTTCAGTTTTTTGAAAACAGTCAAGCATATAGAGTGTGTGTGAGTGTATACGTGGTGAAGTAAGAGATTAAAAGTGTCAATTTTTAGAATAACAAAAATACTGCGCATATTGGTTTAGGTTTTATCAAACTCTGACGTTATCAGTTGTTGACATTATCGAAAATTTCCTTTACTATTACTACACACGATCTCTTATCGTTTAAATACTCGCGGACATTAACTATCCCCTCCTATAAACTATTATAACTCTATGCTAATTGACCGAAGATAAAATTTAGAAAACGCAAATTTCGAGTAATCAGTAACATTGTTTAAAAAAACATATTGTAGATCTGCTCGTGGCATATTTGTTTACTATAAATTAATATTCCATTTGCTCAAAACAGAATCAGGTTTTTGTGAAGTTTCTCAGTATTACGTCTTTTGCGAAACGCGTATTTATTTCATTAGAATGGGCCCACACCACACTACAAAATTTAATTTAATAGTTTGGTATTTGGGCCTAAGCATCAATTAAACACGTAATAATTAAATGGAAAAATCGGTTAATATGTGATATTTACCGGAGGTATCCAGGAAATTATTTATTTACTCGTTCATATGCTATTTTTGATACGCAGGGCGGCAAAATGTTGATTTTCGTTATCTCATTATAGTACCCCCCGGGTTCTTTCTTAAATGCACCAAACTAATTAGGAAGTAATATTTTTTGAAATAAACGATAATTAAATAATGGTTTTATTAAAAATTTGTTACAACCTTGATACTACATCAAATATAGCACCAGCATAACTGTAAGCACATTTTCATTTATATATTTTAGTGTTTAATTTTATTTTTGTTTTCTCACTGTTGGAATAGCGGAGAGAGTAAACGAGATACTGAGTAGCTCAATTTAGTGCATAGTTACGTAAAGCTGGACAATCCCCGTTTCAATGTCGTAACAAATGTAACAGAAAACTTGTCGGTGGAATTCGTAAACAGTTAAACCAAAAAAATTTTTTTTTTCGAAGAAAATTCCACAGGCTACGGTAATACTTTTTACAATCATCCTGTTGGCTTCTTCAGAGCTTGACTGAAGCTGGCTCGTATTTTACTCTGTACCTGTTTATATATTGTTTCATATATATTAAAAACCGAGAATCTGGAACCAAACCTTCCCACCTTAATTGAAAAATGCTTGTCTGGAAGATATTTTTCTTATAACGGTCAAATTTTTGAACAAACATCGGGAACAGCTACGGGTTATCCACTATCAGCAGTCATCACGAATATATTTATCGAAGCGTTTGAGAAGAAAGCTCTCGACACTTTTCATCTAAAACCACCGCTACGTCGATGATACTTTTGTTATTTGGGCTCATGGTCAAGAATCCCGAGTAGATTTTCTTAGACATTTAAACTCTATACACCCTAACATACGTTTTACCATTGAAACTAATAATAACCTCCCATTATTAGATATTGGGTAAACAGTAAACAGATAACCTACACACACAGACCGATACCTTAATGCATGGTCACATCACCATTGTCCAAAAATCATTGCAGTACCGTAAAACTCAGCCTGAGTCACTGAACCCAGAATTAAATCACCTTAGCTCTCCTCTTCTCTCTAATAATTTCCACATTAAAGATATTAAGCGTTCTATCACAAAATACACTTCACCACAACCTTTCCATATCAATATGGCCGAAAGCAATCCTACACTTGCCATTGTGGTCCTTCCTTACATTCAAAATATCGCTGAAGTCATATAAAAAGTTCTAAAGAAATATAACTTCAAAACCAAATTTACCACTTGTCCAAAAATCTCTCCGCATCTTCGATCCGTCAAAGACAAAATTCCATTTGATATGCCAGGAGTTTACAGCATTGCGTGCATATGCGGTAAAGAATACATTGGAGAGTCCGGACGAAAAATATCAACTAGGCTCAAACTCCACCGGACGTAAAATTTTATTCGATAAAAATAGAATTCTTACATGTAATCAATTCTTCTACCAACTAAAAATCCGAGAATCTATAGAAATCTATAAGCAACCTAACAATCTTAATCGCAGGTACATAGTAAAATGTGAGCCAGATTCAGTCAAGCTCTGAAGACGCCCACAGATGATTGGCGAAACGTTAGCAAGTTCAAGTCAGCAAAAACCGGCGCAGGAGGAATCCAGAAGTTTTGTAAAAAGCAACAATTGTACTTCCTGTCCAAAAATTTAATTCGAACCATTCATCCATAACTCTGTTAAACATAATTAAGCCGTGAGTGTTGTGCATTTTATAATGCTTATTAATTAATATTTAGTTAAATAATAAGAAGAAAAGATATAAAAAAATGAAATTAAAAAGTTATCATTTATTGAGCCGTTTTCGGCAAAGCTTTATAAAAAGAAACTTTGATCTTGGCCTTTGTCAAAGATTTTAGTGCCGCTGGTTTTAGATGAGCATTACTCAAGTAGGAACGATTATATATATATATATATATATATATATATATATATATATATATATATATATATATATATATATATATATATATATATATATATATATATATATATATATATATATATGTATGTGTGTGTAACGCTTTCCTTTGAAGGATAAAGTGCTTCGACTTGTATTGTTCATCACGAAACATCTTGGAGACTCGTATTTTTTGTCAGTAATCCTTCTATTATAAAGCAATCTCTTTTAAGTTGTCA